AATGTTAAAATTATAACTTAAAAAATGTAATTAGTAATTGTAGAATTGTAGTACCACCTCAAACTATTTTTAATTAAAATATTTATTCTAAAAATATTTTTTTTCTATTATATTCACCAAAAATAGAAGATAAAAGTACAAGAAATGGCACTATTACAAGTTCATATTAGATATACTGTAATTAAATAAATTGGTGTAATTTTACATTTACAGTATACATATTTACTCATAATTTAACATTAAAAAACAAAAAGACAGCATATAGTCAGTTATAATCAATGTTAAATTACTATTAATATTAAAAATACAAAAGGATAGTTAGTGTTACAGTAGAATATATCTATGGATATATTTTAGTTTATGTGTTTATACCTTGACTTTTAGATGTGAGCCTTGTGACCTTTTATCTGGTGTTCCACTTCCTCAGTAGATAAAAGCAGGGATGAATGGTCTCTGTGGGCAAACCAAACACTGAGCGCTATCTGATTTCAATTCTCTTGGGTGTTATGACTAAGAAATAATTGTACATATTTCTGTTTGTTTCTTTTTCACTGTGGTGTGCTCTGGGTAATTCCTAATACCTTCTAGAGATTATACAGTAGCTCCCAAACTCCCATGATTATAATTAAGCCTGACTTGGTTGTAAAATGAGTAAATAGCAATTTAGTTTTGCATCGTGTGAGGGAGCATCTGTGTTTTCCTCCGTGTCTCCATACGTCTTTACATTTCTGAATATACTTGTCATTGTGGTTTAGAGTTTGAATATGCACATGCATTGTGTATGTGTGACTGTGTCAAGGGAAAGTGCTGCAGAGGAAAGGCATATATATACAGTATATGTGGAGATGTTTGGTTAGGCATGGACACTCCTGTCATCTTCTTTCTGGCACAAAAAAAAAAAGCCAAACATTTCCTGATCCATTCTTTTTCTCTTCCTTGTTCTCTTTCTTGCACTCACTCTCTTCAGCTTTCACCCTCTCTCTTTCTGTATCACTTACAAAGGCAGCTGTTTCTTCCAAAATGAGGCCACATACGGAAGGTATGCAAATGAAATCATCGCTCGTGGATTAGAATGGGACACCATATACCCTAAATCATGATTGTCAATCATGGCTGGGGATTAAGGGATATGGGCGCACAAACCTAAAAAAAGCAACATTTCCCCCCTCAGGCAGATCCCCATTGTGAGGAGCTCTGAGGAAGAGAGGGCTCCACACAGGAGGAGAGGAACACTGGAGCACCAGTGCCCCCTTCTGTCTGATGTTCTCCGCACCATTTCATCATCAAACACCAGCCAGTCTGAACAGAAATAGAGGCTGGCACACACAAGCCTATTCATTTACATTCAGTGTAGCCACAGGCAAAAGCTTGATTAGACAAATGCACATGCTTTGGTGATGCAGTGTTTCATCTTCAGTGGAGGAGAGAGAGACCTCATTTATTTCTCTGGCATGTGTGCAGGCTTGGTTCAACATCAGTGGGTTAGAGGGCCATAGGCCTTACAAACATAACAAATGTTTGTGTGCCCTGTGAATGACTGTGTTGAACACTGACGTCCCTTAACCATCAGAATCAATTTGCTCTTTATATTGTCAGTGTGTGGTTTTAATATGTGGTGTAAACTGTATATTTACACATCCTGCACTGTCATACATGTGCCAATTTGTCAGTCAGTGGTATATATTTCAGCATTAATTTGTAATTTCAAGATTAATTTTCAACTTTTAATTATACTGTACTACCACTATAATAATAATAATCCAAAATATTATTATTAAAACATGATATTAATACATTAAAAAGTATAATATTTTATTCAATGATCTTAATATGTTGAAATTAGGACACATTTAGGAATAAGTGCATCTCCTCACACAGAGACATATTTAGTGGATTGTATGTGCAGACCCTGGGGCCCTCAGCTAGAGTGCCAGTCTGTTCCTGTGGAGCAGTCAACCAGACAAACTCAGTCAAGAGAGAGCAAGGAACAGGCACCAGGCCAAGGAATAGTACTGGAAAATGCTCCACTATGGCAGAAAATTAATAGTGGTTTTATAGGAAAGAAGTCGTGGGGGAGGGTTTAAAAAAGGGCAAGCACACTAGTTTAGCATCATCAAAAGGACTGTTGTGTGTGATTGCAGGAATCAAGGGAGAATTTCATTAAATCCCATCAGACTAGACCATGATAATGAGAAAAGTGAGCAGAGGAGGAAAGTTGGCACCGTTCGCATAACGCACAGTGCAGCTCCTGGCTGCCCAAGACTGAAGGTGGCGCGGCACCTGTGCCATTTGGCCTCAGCTTCGTATGGGCAGGAGGTCAAGGCCAGGGCAACATCTGCAGCACATCAGAGCGCCTGGCTCCGTGCCCACACAATGAAAGGTCTCTCACAGAGAAAATCTAAAGCATAATTTTGGACCACATGGTGCTATTTGTGTGTGAGGGAGTTTCACTCGCTCCCTCTCTTATCATTGATGTTGCTTATTGAATATGTATTTATCATCTAAACTTAGAATCCAATTTAATTGATTAACACATTTGCTTTATTTAATAGGCTTTCATTTCAGTACTTGCTTCTTATTTATAATCATTGTTTTCTTCAAGGTCCACTTCCTGGTTGAGGATGGTGCTCTTATTAACTCATGCTCCACCAGGTGTAGGCAGTTTGGACTGTACCATGTGGGAGTATGGGACAACAGGTTTCTTTTTGTATTTTGTTTGCCTGCCAGCCGTAGTAAAATTAACTCTAGCCTGAATAGTATGTTGGGGAGTTATTGCACATTTTAAAGCCTTAATGGGAAAGTTCATGTCACCAACATTTTAAATAGCACTGAGTCTCTGCTTGATTTCAGACAAAGTACTTACTATTTGGTTTGACCAGGCAGTGTTCAAAGCTATTGTGCCAGCGTAGTGTTTCTGGGCTGGTGGACTATCCTGTTGTCTGTGAGTTTTGTATTATTATTATTATTATTATTTTGCATTTGTACTTTGCACACTGGGGATGAAAGAAGCACAAAGCAGAGGTCTGAACCAAGTTTATGGACTTTGTGCTCATTTAGATAGTCAGACCCCCTTGAATAACTGGTTCACATACTGATTAAAAGGAGATAAGAGCTTAATCCTAGCACTGTGGATATCCATTTGTACTTCAACGTTTTTATGTTTGAAAACAGCTAATAGCCAAAAACATACATCTCCAGGTGAAACTCGGATAACGTGTCCTTTACAACACACACCGCAGTGTGTGCAGTAAAATTTACCTAGCTAATTTCAAAAGGGCAGGGGGTCCCTAATACCATCCCAGTCTGTTACAGCAAGACCACCTGAGTCATCTTTCTGATGTGGCTAAAATAAACCACAGAAATTGATGGGAGCCAGCTGCTCACTAAAGAGCAAATCATTATGCATCATTAGGTGAAGATTTAGTTTAAATGTGTTTAGCAGGAATTAAGCAAAGCTGTTGTTGACATGGATTGACTGCTGTAATGGTTTATTGTCAGTCCTCCAGGAGGCAGAGGGAGGGGCCAACCTAGTTGGGGTAGCAGTAGTGAGCCGAAAGCAAGGATTTATGGGACGTTGAGAGGACTAGTTGATTGTGCTGAAAGAGTGGACAAACAGCAAAGTATGGTTGTTGATTTGGAAGGGTGACCAAGAAGGGCAGTTTGTGGTGCAGAGGATTCAGCTGCAGAATTTTAGTATGATGTGCTTTTATGTCCTCAGGATGCATGAATGTGCACATGAGAGGGTCCTTTCGAAGTCCAAATATCACATTAATTGTACTTTTAAGTGGCTGACACTATCTTAAATATTTGGGTTGGGGCCTCACTATAGCTTAAAAACTGTTTCTTGGTGAAAAATTTAATTTACAGGAGTAATTGTGGAATTTTTATAACAATATTCTGAAATTCTAACTTCAAGAATCAACTGATTTGGAAAAAAGCATCACTTAATTAGTGACTGAAAGTTTTATTCTACTGTAGTATTTTCTTCTTTTAGGGTTTAGAAAAGTACCTAAAAGGGCATCACACTGAAGACTGATACTATAGATATGATGAATTAAGGCTATTAACTTTTGCATCTGAATGACTGGAGGAAATGTACAGTACTACGGGTGCTCACTGAGTGTTGAAACTCCCATCAGAGGAAAAGGTGAAACTTGAACAACTTGTGTGTGTGGTCACTTCAACCACAGGTAAGTTTCCCTCTCCCGTCCTGGGCCCCTGTGTTTGTTTATGTGCTGGCGTCTGAATGTGTATGCAAGAGCAGCTCAAACTGACACGTAAGAGAGGACAGTCTTATCCAGCTCTCCAGTGTTGACAGTATTGCTAATCCCCTCCACCTGCTCAAACACCCACCCCCCAAAAAAACAGCCCCCCTCGTCCTCCATGTGCCTGTGCTGGGAGTCCCTAGGGCCAGGTTGCGCCTGTGCCTTCGCCTCCACACCAGTTATCGTCCCTGGCCCGGCTTCACTCCCCCAACCCCTTCGTGCACCGCGCACATTAATCGCTGCAAAAACAAATAGTTTTCAAATGTTTGGAAAAGGCCCACTGTTTGCATCAGGGCCTAACAAAATAATTTTTACAAGCTATCCAGTTGTGATTAGGACTGAGAGAATTGAATTTATGTGGCATTGATAATATTAATATTAGCCTAATTAATTATGTTGTTTGAACTTGCACAGCACTGTGTGTACCCTCTACACAACACTAACCAGCCAGAGCTGGAACTGAGCTCTCAGGCGTCTCTATCTTGCCGGCTCTCCCTCAGTCCATGACTACTGCACACAATTCATCAACTCATAGATATCTAATCCCCTCTGCTCCGCTCACTTCCTGAAGTCTAAGAAAGAACTTTACTCTGGTGGCAAGAATTTCCATGAATACTTGATGACATCCATAGAAAGGAAGACTGTTTCATCTCACTTTGAAAGTGACATTTGCTGAGTAACTTTTGATTTCCCTGTTTATGAATGATAGAGGGACAATAATAAAATGCAACATCTCTTTAATGAGTCACTAAGGTAAACCGCAGTACAGTGGGTGTAGCTTCATTGAAGAGATGGACTCGGGTGTCAGGGACGTGACCTTGCTTTTTTCCTTAGTGCAGAAAACAATGCCTGAGACCCTCCATTGAGCCTCATGTTAAGATGTCCCCTCTAGTTTGTTTCTTTAAATCAGCAGAGGTCAACATTTTGATGTCCCCTGACCCAGAAACACTTCATATCCAGCCAACATTCTCTCTGGACTGTGTGCATCACTGGATGAGCAAGTGTTAATCTAGTCAATTACAGTGACACATACCCAGTGACCCATCACACCAGTCATCTGAGCCTAAGAAGGGACCACCCACTCCTTCAGAGAGATTCTCAGACCTATTTATAGGTCTTATACCAGTTCTCTCTCTGATGACCTCTGTGGTCAGAGGTCACAGGTTAGAGGTGGTCATGTGTCTCTCTTAACCAGACGGCGCTCTGTCAGGTTGTTTTCAGGCCATTGCAAAGGGAAATCATTCCCTGTACACAGAGCTACTGCAGGCCTGAATTGTATAGGCTGGCAGTCTCCATTTACAGCAGCTTCAGGTTCTATTCATGTGCACAGGTGCAGCCACAGAATTGATATATTTGGCACAATCAAAAAAGTTAACATAAGCACGAAAATCTGATGTCAACTTATAATATGTCAAACATCTTAGCTATGTGGATTGCGGATGGATTAGTCCTTAAAAACAAATTAAATCTTAAGTCAATATACATTTAATTTTTCAGCTTGGAGAAATAAACAATGAAAAAGGGTAAAATGCACATTTCCCAAATTCCAAGAGCAGTACACTTTGTCTCCATGATGAGCAATGCAATCCCAGTAAAGTTTGTATACTGGGGCCAGGCCGATGCATTCTCTGAATCAGGGATGGGTATCTTCAGGGTGCATCGCGTCATTAAAGTATGGGACGGAGAGCAGTGAAGTGTTAATCAGACATTAACTGAAGTGTCTGCCTAATCTGGCTGAACGGTAGTCCGCTCTCAGCTGGACGAAGGCATGCAGGAGGTTCCGGTCCAGATTGGTGAGCTGCTCACCTGAACAGACCTGCTTCAGGTTATCAGGGGCAACCACCAGGAGGTTACAGAGGGCGTGAAGTGTGTCAAAGAGCTGCAGCACAAGAGGGACCTGGAGGACAGTCAGACACAAAAGCAATTATACCTTGTAAAACTATATATAACAAATGATTACTTGTTTACAAGACAAATATTATAGATGATAAACCACAGTTTTGTTCCCTGTGTGCAAAACATATGGAGAACCAGTATTCTTAAATGCACCTTCTGGTCTTTTAACAGCTGGGAATTTGTAATGACTGTCCATAATATGACATTTTATAGACTAAATTTACTGATAAAAATAACTGGTCAAAATTGAATGATGCAGCCCTTCCTGTATGTACTGAATGGGTCAAATGACCATTATACAGAGTGTAATCATAAAAACTTTAACCTGGTCTGACCCCTTTATTTAACAAACAAACACAGGCAGAACCTTTGTAGGAAGGGCTGTGTTCTGCCCTGTGACCCGTGTATCCTGGACCTACGTCCCACCTCCTGCTCACCTTGAAGTCCTTGGCGCATCGTCGGTATTCAGCCACATCGCAGATGGCCAGCATGCCTCCCATCGAGCTGTAACTGTACTGCTGTAGATGCTCGTGGATGAGCCGGTGGAAACGAACACCCAGCTCTGTCAGTACTGTGTCTACATTCTTCCCATCCATGGACTTTCGCACGTGTTGTACTTGCCGACCGACGTAGGCGCATACCTTGGAGCAGGCCTGCCAGGTGGGAATACACACAGTAAAACACCATGCTGGCTAAACTGAAAAAAAACCCAAAGGCAATTCAAACATGTTCAGTGTTTAGTTTGAGAACAAGACAGGAAGATGTAGAGTAAGTGATTTGCAAGGTGCATTTCATCCATCCATCCATTTTCCTCCGCTTATCCAGGCAAGGTGCATTTGCTGATGTCATTTGTATTGCATGCGAGCTCAGAGAGGAAGGCTGAGTCATTGCATCTCTTACCGTGGTGTACTGGATCATGACATTGTTCTCATCCTCAGGCCTGAAGTCAGTCTTCTTCTGCTCTGCTGCCAAGATGTGCTTCATTTGTCCTACCATGCAGTTTAGTGTTCTGTGTGTAGCAGGAAAATACATCAGTAAATGTCTTGTATTTGACATTCCATTACTGGTATTAGTTTGCACATATAAATGATACAACACATTTCACATGAGTAGCTTGCTGCCTGTTATAAACATACAGACCTGTCAATTCCTGTGTCTAGTTTCACTTCCATCTGCTCAATCACCTCTTTCTTCTTCTGCAGGCACTCTGCCAACTTTGGAGATGAGCTGGTGAAAGATTTTAAATGGATATAAGCCGAGGTCTCAAAATGACACGCATGCAAGGTAAAAAGCCTTCTAATACCTAAATACTGTAGGATACATACAGTATGATTTTAACCCTTAACTGACCTTATTAGAGGCATTAGCTGGTCATTAAACTGCTTGTCAAACAAGTGAAAGATGGAGTTTGCCTGCGGAACCACATTTTTTACAAGTTGGCATTCTTGGAATCCGCTGAGGGAATCGCTGTGGATCAGAGAGACAGAGAGAATATGTCCACTCATTAAACCAAAAAGCAGGTGACAGGATAAATCAGAATGATTCACAAAGAGCGCAAAACCACTATTGCTTGTTCTCTATGTGTTACATTATATGAAATTACAATATATGAAAACAAACATACTCATTCACAGCAATGCTTTACTTTAGCATCAGTGAGGAGAAAGTAATTAACCCAGTCCATTTGCCTCCTGCATTTGTTTAAACCTGCATTGATCATGGAATGTTCATGAGGATGACAGCTATTATTTACCAATCTATCGTTGGTTTGATGAAAACAGGGACTAACTGAAGGTACACTTAATTTGAGTTCCTGTGAAATAGGAAGGTCTCACCTGGAGAGGAGGCACAGACTGAGCCTGACCTCTGGGTTCTAAAAAGCACACCTTTATGGGATGCATACTTCAAAGGATACAGCCCCTGGTCTGGGACAGCAGTATTTTTTTTGCCCATTGTGATTTACTGGTTTTAGTTCTCAGTAGTAGGTAAGATTGGCACACAGCATGTCAACATGATGTTATAATGACATGCAGTGGAGGTTACCTGAGAGGCCAATCTCCAGGGCGTAGTCAATGTGTTCCACGCACAGATGTTCAACCAGCAACAGGAAGATTGAGAAGGCATTCTTGGGCAGGTCAGAAGGATCTGAAAGCTGTCTCACCCCAGACAGAAAGAGATCACACATGACTGCTTGTAAATGGTTTTTTCATAAAGAATGAATTACTGTATGCTATTCAAATCCATACAAATCAGAATTTCTCACCTTGTGGCATCTCTCAAAGGCAAGACGTGTCTCCTGCAGCAGGTTGACAACCAGCTCTGGGGATAAAAAGGTCTCCCCATGAGTGTCAATGCTAGGACCAAGGGGAAAGTTGGTGCGCTGTCTGATACGCTCCTTCAGCTCCTGAATACTGTAGAGGGATTTCAATCACGACTATTTTGCATTATATCTTATGACTGTGTAAATTTGATTTTCAAATAACTCAAGCCACATCTAGCATGATGCGACAAGAAACTACGAACAGAATCTGACCTGCCAGTGCCAACTGGGCGTTTTTGGTGGTTCTTGGAGTCGTAGTAGCGCTGCAAAATCATGGCGCCTCGAGTGCGAAGGTATTCCCTCTCCATGTCAATGTAACTTTCCAGGTATGTGGAAAAGATGCTTTTTATCAGCTTGGACAGGAAAGTGTGCTTGTCTGAGCCAAGGTTGAACTCTGTTAGCTTAGTGGCCAATGCTGTGGTCCTGGAGAATGTGAAAAGCACAGTTGTAATTATGTATTAAATATACTGATGAGACAGCAGTAGTGGAGCTCATTTCTAACAGTGAGACCGTGCACAGGAAGGAGGTACAAGAGCTAAATATCTGGTGCATAAGTAACAACCTGGTTTTGAATACTAAAGAGACCAAGGAAGTTATTGTACACTTCCATAGGAAAAAAAAATCAACAGCACCATGCACCACTCCTCAATGGGGGCAATGAAGTGGAGAGAATGAACACCTTTAAAATTCTAGGGCTGGCAGTGTCTGAGGAACTGAAACATTATTAGAAGGGCTCAACAATAGCTCTGCTATCCGAGCCTGAGGAGGGCTAAACTACTACAGAGGCTTCTGACAAACTTGTACTGATGTGCTATAGAAAGCGTACTGACATATTGTGCATCTGTGTGGTGGAATTCATGCACAAAGGCCGAGCTGGTCACTGTGCAATGGGTGGTGTTAACTCTGACTGGATTTCCTGCTGTCTCGACAGTGCACGCAAGATCACTGAACAGCAAAAAAAATACAGATCCATCTGAGCAAGATCCACCAGGCTGAGGAATAGCTTTTTTCCCAGGTAGTGGCACTGCTTATCAGATATCAGTCCTCCTGATAGACACAAACCAATGTCCTGTTTTATGCTTTTTTTTTTTTAATGCTATATCCTAGTTTGGTTTTTAAGCATATTTGTTGTAGTTGTTTATATTGGTTTATTCTCAATTCCTTTTAAATCCTGAAACATGTTTTTAGCTAACAGCAACAACGCAGGTCTTCCCTGTGTGCCTGTGATGAGGATGTCGGAGAGTTTTATGAAGGTTGTTTATAATGTTGATTGTTTATATTCTGTATGCATGCAGGGCTGAAAGGTCCTATTTCATTGTGTTTTTTTGAAATTCAGTGGCAAAGGGTTTGAACTTGTAGACAGGAAGTGAATTAAATCAATAAGTGAAAAAGTTACCTGGTATAAAGGTCATAGAGATTCTTGAGGTACTGTTCCACATCAGAGTGTCGGGTTTCATCCAGTTTCTCCTTAACATGGGCCTGCAGACACAATGCCAGTCATAAACTGCAACATGAGGTGTGTCTAAAAAAAAACACAAAGCAAATAAGAAGTAGGAGAAATACCTGCAACTTGTTCTCAAAAATGTTCTGGATGAGTTTGGCCATAACAGTCTCTGGGCTACTGAAGACTTCGCCCACCTGCTTGTTGACCCTCTGGCAAAGCACTGCAGTGTCCTCAAACACATCGTTCCTTAGGTAGGCCCCCTAGGATGACAAAGGGTTAACAAGGAGTCTGTGGATATCACTGACCCACAAAAAAAGTGAAGTTGGATGTAGAAAAAGCTTTTACACTCACTTCCTGGCACTGCTTGATATAGACGTCCACACAGTGTGCATAGCCCTTTAACAAAAAGACAAGGGATTTCATTTTTCTCTGATCAGGAATGGCCAGTTAAGACTTAAAGACAATGTTATATCAAATGGAGACATAAATATCAAAGTTACACAACAAATATGATTCTTCTAAGTCACCTTGAAATGTAATAGAACCGCTGCAACCTCCCGCATACGTCCAATCTCACCTCTGCGCTGGGCAGCGGTGAACTCCTGGATTAACTGGCGCTCCAGGTCATGGTACTTACCTGGGTAAGTGTAAACAAACACAAAGACACAAAAAAATATTACTGTAATTTGTAGCTTTTGTAATTTGTATTTGCAATATGCATTGCAGATTTCAATATATAATGAGTCTTGTCACCACTTACTTGCAATTTTGGCCTTGACATCTGCAAATCTGTCAGAGAAAAACATATTTATCAAGAAGGTATTTACAAATAACATGTTCAGATAATGAATTTAAAAGCTTAAATACGTCATATGTTCTGGGCTGGGCGATAGTCCACATTACAAGTTCACCACCCTCCCCTTGTTTGACAGTGTTCTTGTCTAAGGATACCTGCAGGATGCCTGACTCACCTGTCAAATGGCAGCTCCTGAGCAATGAGATGCAGCTTCTGAATGATATCGGCAGCCTCCTTAATCTGAGGGACACAGAGAGAACGTGTTTGAGGCAGAGAAAGATGTCAGGTGAGGGGGGGGGAAAGAGAGGGCACGGCAGGACCATGACAGGTGGACATCAAGACAGAAAGCAGGCAGGCCACCAGCAATGTCTCCACTTGGGGGAATCATCATCTTAGAGCAGCCCTGCTCCACCTCCTTGTGTTGAACAGGGAGCTGATAACACACCTGGGCATGGGCAGCAGGAACAGTAGCACTCCTGACTTAGCAACATATCCAGCTCTTTATTGGCATGCCTTTTCTGAATGGGCTTTAATCCCACAGGAGTCTAATTCGCCTTCAATAATCTGTCCGGCCAAGGATATCTGTCTAAAAGAAAAAAAAAAAGAGCCCCCCTGCGCACACACACCACTCCTGACATACACGCTAGCTGAAAAAGCCCCAGACCTACAAAAGGCACGCCGTCCGCAACTCCTCTGTTCCCACAGATGCCTGCCTCAGCTAACATCATTACTCTGCTCCCGTGAGGAGGATCCAGCCTTTCTGCTCGGCGAAGGTTTTCTAAGTATCTGTCCCCCAGCTAAGATTAGCTAAATCCCATGTAAGTAATGTAGCCATCTCCCTGCAGTCAGGGTTTAGCAGCACTTGTCTCCACGCTGGCGGCCCAGCCCTCCCTTTCAGAAGGATTAGCAAAGCCATCCCCCTTCAGCTATTCACTTGCAGCTTTCCTTTTTCCCCTTCGTTTGGAGGTATGCTCTGGAAAAGGAATCTGGCCAGATATTTTTGCATGCCTCTCTTGAAACTAGCCCAGCTCCAGCTCTCGTTTCTGGGATTGACCCCCACGCTCACTTCTCTACATCCACTAATGATGTTCATATTTACAGGAATTAATCTTAAGCATCCCAATCTCTCTGCTGTCATAAACAAAACTGCAAAATCAAACTATCTGGGGTCACCAACTTGTGCTCTATATAGGCAGGCAGGAAAAGTGTGCATTTATCACCATCCTTACATGTACTATCATGCCACAAGCTCTTTACTGCTGTAATGCAAAACAAAGCCGAGGACCAACCAAATTCCCGCTCCCAGACATCCTACTGTAAATGCAATTAGGGTTGACATGAGCATGTTGGCATCCATGCTAGTCAGTCAGCCAACTATCGTCAGACAGCAAATGACAGTTTATTAATCCAAATTAGCCGAGGGATCCAACTGAAGGGATAAACTTGCCAAATTAATATGGATGGTTTACCTCATAATCCTGTTCATTCTCACCTCCAGTGGCATCACAGTGGGGGTCCTTGTCAGTGGTCGCACACACCTCCAATGAAGTGAATGGAAAAGAACATGTAGAATACTCACCTTGTCTGGGTTATTGAAGACATCACTGCGTAGGTCTCCATCCAAGAACTCGTTGAAGTAGGTCATCAGACGCTGAGCTTCGACAGCCCTCTGCCGGGGCGTGTTCACACCCTCCAGCTGGTCACCGAGGTGGCAAACCTTAGTGGCCACATAGCTTATATGCTCGTCAAGTTCCTGGAAATGCTGAAAGGCCACCTGAATTGATAAACCACAGAGATTGTGAAGAAATTCAGTGAAGTGACAGATTTAAAATAAATCAAGCTGGTGATATTTGGGCACATTCAACCATATAAGACACCTGGTTGCTTCTCTGTAAGTCTTGAACTTTGTGGGCAAATTCCTTGGCCTCACGATGACACTGATGCTCCAGCTTCTCTACCTTTCGCTGGATCCTCTCATCCAGTTGCTTCAGCTCCTCTATGTGGTTCTGAAATTCTTCCAACAGCCTATGACACAGGACAGAAGGTATGTAGCTCCAGAACTTCACACTACTCTAAATAACAATTAACAGGTAAAACACACAACTGTTCTTACTCTGGTGGAGGAAGGAGGGCTTCAAAGTTATATCTGTCCAACTGACTTCACAGCTGCATATATTATTATACTTTATTAATCCCCGTGGTGAAATTTCTAAACTGATGCCGGCACTGTCAAGTCACTGCCTGGCCACCTGGGGCAACTAGAGGTTCAGTGTCTTCCCCAAAGACACTTCGACATGTGGACTACAGAGGCCGGGAATCAAACCACAAACCTTCCAAATGGGAGAAGAGCACTCTACCTCCAGAGCTACAGCTGCCCCAATAGTTAATAGTTACAGAATAGTGCCAGATGCTTAATTCCTGGGTCCCTGGACTTAAGAAACTGAGAAAACTAGCAGCTTCGTCAGCTGCATTTTAAGTACCATCAGGGCTGCAGAGTAAATGTTCTAAGTCAGCACCACATTTCACAGAGTAGGAAACATCCCAAAATGATGAGTGTATAATCTCTTGACTAATTCCCCTCAGCAGTAGCTACAGCTTAAAGACATCTCCCATCCCTTCTCAACATACACCAATTCCCTGGCTGGTGACTAACAGTGTGGTGGCCTCCACAGATATGTTGTCTCTGACTCCTCACTAAGAACGTCCAAGGAGGTGGTGGCATCAGTTTAGTGAAAGAAGTAGAAGGCAAGATGGATCTACAGTGAAGTTAAACTGTTATGGCATTCTATCATATATGATGTAACTTGGTCCTAACAGTAAACACAACATGTGGTGAAAACATTCTTAAACATAGATATTTCCTGTTTTTTTTTCTTCAACTCAACCATCAAAAATATTAAATTAGCATAATACAGACCAGGATGAGCTGTAGTAAGTGCAGAGGGCATAATCGGTTTCAGTATATTTGTCTGTGTTGCATATTTAAAAAGTTATATGTGCGAATATGAAACATCTAAGAATCTCAAATCAATACTGAATGGATAAGGAAGAATTTTATTAGTGTATTATATTTGTCTGCTCTACATTTACATGTAATATTGTACTTACTGTTGGTAAAGCAACACTGGGTCATAATTTTTGACAATATCAAATGACACACAGTAGGAACCAACTAACAAGCTAAGTGTTGCTGCAAATTATAACTGAAGTCTAGATAAAAACCTGGATCTTGTAATTCACCTGAGTTACTGATTCTTTTTTGTGCACTGTGATGTTCAGGGAAAGATGTAAGACGTGTACTGTAAATGTGAACGATGACGGTTTACAGTAACATTACCTCTTTGGGTCGAATGCCTCAGCTCCTCCTTTGGAACCTCCTCCGGGAGTCCTCCATGCCAGCCTTTCAATGTACTCATCTGCATCAAATGGCTCCTGGGGGGTAGACAATGCCATGAGTGTACAGATGATTAAATCTACAGTCAGCGAAACACCAGCTAATAAAATTATGCTAACAGAAATCACCTGTAGTAACTGTTGATACTTGAACAATAATCAAATACTACTACCTAATAACAGTGCAATTTCCTCCCACATTCATAGTCGTATAAATACACAGTATTTGTCCTAATTTACTTTTGGTTTACGACATGAATCCAAGGCCCTCAACGGTTTAAATCATTATTAATTTTTGCTTAAACACTGTGAAGATGCGTGGGGATTGTTAGTACCGTTAATGATAGTTAGCAACCTAGCCAGCTAGCTAGCTAACACAGCTCTCCGATGCAGCAGTCATTTTACCTCGAACAGCTGAGCAGTTGTAGCCATGGTCCAGATACAGATGGCGGCGTCGTTGAATGCAATTTAGGAGAAGCAATACAAAGTCGGCAATATCGTCGACTTCCACATGGATATGGTGAGTTGGTACAGTTTTGCCCTTTGTTGACAGCTGGCTGGTTAGCAATCCAGCTTCCTGTATGGAAGAGAAGGGTGGGGATAGCTGCTTACAAGTGCGCAAGCGCATATGTCAGCTGATTGGTCGTAGTTGTCACATGCAACAACAACAGGAAGTTATTCGCTGCGTTAGTATGAGCCAAATTCATACAGTAAGGAAATTGTAAATTTAATAACTGAACTACGAGATGTAAATAATAATGTCGCAGACTTTTCCGTAAATTGAGGATTTCAGTGCAGCCGGAAAGATGAGTCTGCGTGCTTTGTGGATTATTTCTCGTGAGAATGGAGAAAATGTTTCAACCTTTTCAAGGTTTGTATTTGAGTTATAATGACTACCGTCTCCCACTAACTGTTTACAGTAGTGTAGAAGCCTGTAGTAGCACACAAATATCACAGAATATGAGCTGTTACACTTCTTGCAGTTTACTGTGTCTGTAATGTCTTGTGTCTCACCCCACAGGAGGTTCTCTACCGTGGAGCACCGTGCAAAGAAGCTGGCAGGCTCCGCATATGTAGCAGTCCCAGAGGAGAACACTGTGCTGCAGCTCCTGCTCACTGAGCTGGGGCTTACAGAGTCTGACAAATCGTACGTAGCTCTCAGAGATGATTGCCTTCATTGTCGGCGGTCACCAGCCCTGGAGCTACGTGTGGATGGTCCAGGAAAGAGAACACTTTGGCCGGTGTTAGCCATCTCACAGGGGCCACTTATTCTGGCTTGCCTGCCTTTAGTGGATGCCCCCCCTGAGCCACGGCCACCTCTGGCTAACCTGCTGTCAGTCTCACAAGGCCTCACACTACTGGCAGGGCTAGAGACCTATCTCCTTGGCTCAGGGAGTAAGCTTGATAGTGAGGGGCTGTCCTCTCGCCTGGCAATGCTGCCCTCTGTACTCCTTCAGATTTGCCCACTTGGCACACCCCTGGATGTCCCGCCACTGGGAGCACCTGCTACACCCATAGTACCCACACCTGCTGGGAACCAAAAGCAGCCATCCTGGAAGACAGGGCTCCACCGCGGTCGGGCTATGGTGAACGTAGCATTGATAGAAACTGTGCGCTCCATGCAGTATGGTAACCAGAGCAGACAGGACCTTTGGGATGTTTATGGCACTGTGACATGCAAAGTAAGTTCACAGTGGAAAGAAAAGCAAGTCATTATAATGTTTTGCCTATTTTCATTCTTTTACTTAATTCTACATTTTTGTCTTTCTCCCAACAGTGTGAAGTGGAGGGGGTGCTCCCAAATGTAATGGTGACCCTCACACTGCCACCAAATGGTTCTCCGCTGCAGGACATCCTGGTCCATCCCTGCGTCACTTCACTGGATTCTAGTATCTTGACTGCCAGCAGCGTGGATAACTGTGATGGCTCGGCTTTCTCTGGGCCATATAAGTTCCCCTTCTCTCCACCCCTGGAGACTTTCAGACTATGCAGCTACACATCTCAAGTATAAAATACAATTGAATAAAATACACAAACTCACGTTTTACCCCAAACAGTTTGTCTTAAAGGAGTCTTGTTGATACTCCAATTTTTCAACAGGTTCCTGTTCCCCCTATCCTTGGTTCCTATCAACTGAAGGAAGAAGAGAACCAGCTGCATGTGTCAGTAATCCTGAAACTTCACGAAAGTGTGAAGAATAGCTTTGAGTACTGTGAAGCACACCTGCCCTTTTTTAACAGGTAAGCAGCAGAAGAGGCCAAAGTTTGCTTGTTTTTTTATATCTGAGTGCTAGAAAACATGTTTTTATTTTTTTTACTAGAGAGCAAAAAGGTTTGCTGCCTCATCTTGCTTTAGCTGAATAATGGATTCCTTCAACGGCCAAGAAATAAACCTGTAACCAAGTCTCAAACAACCATGTGGTAAAATACTGTGACACAATTTAGAGAAATGTCCCAAAATGTCATCATAAAAACCCTTTTAACATTCATTATATCAGCCAAATATTTTACTGCCAGGTTCTTGCATTAAATTCATTTAAAGAACTTAAAGGTTTTCTCACAGGATGAACATTGAACCCATTAAAATTAATTATTGTTCATTTTAAAATTTTGTGAAATAAAATTGTAAAATAACATCTGCATGTGGGCTCTGTGTGTCTCGTGCAGGGTTCAGATGAGCGTGGTGGATGTGAGGGTGAGCGCTGGACAATTGGATGTTTCAAAGGAGAAGAACTTGCTGGTCTGGAGCCTAGGTAGGCATGTGCACCTGAGCATCAGTGTGAAAGATAATCTCATTGCAGCTATATTCAAAAAAGAAACTGACTACTTTTCCTTTCACTAATATTTAGGGCAGAAGTTCCCTAAATCTCGGGAGGTCACAATGGAGGGAAAGATTAGCTTTTTTGGGCCAACACCAGGACCTACTGATCCCCTTTATTCAGATCTTACAGCCTACGTCAAAGTAAGTTAATAGGCATGGTGGTAATCAGGATTCTGTTACAGTCAGAAAAATTATGTCTCTGGTCTTAATGTACTGGCCATTTTAATTTTAGGGCTCATTTAATCAGTGTAAATGTTTGAAACTGAAAAATACTGCAAGGTAAGCTCAGCGTGGTCAGTAATATTTGCAGTAACATCTCGTGTGAGCTTGGTGTTTCTTGTGCAGGGATCAGATGGGTATTGTTGTGGTGAAGGTCAGCTCTGGATATCTGTGGCTATTAATATAAAATCATTAGCCTGTAAAATGTTACTACTTCCACTGTTATCTTCACAGTTGCATTTCAAAGTGCCTGATATGACACTCTCTGGCTGCTGTGTAGACCAGCATTCAGTGCAGGTTTATTCTTCTGCCAAACCACGGATCGTAACATGTAAGCTTTTGTTTTTTTTTTGAATAAAAATATTAGCTGTATACACATTTTCTGAAAGTAAAATAATGGCCTGCCTGTCTTATTTTCAGCCCGAGAACTTCAATCCAAAGAGTACTTCATATGGAATTCAACAGGCACTGCTCCAGTATCCTCTGGGCAGATGATGCTGTAGCATGATTCCATAGAAAAAGCTTAGTGTAAAGGTGCAAGTTCATGTAGTACCTGGACTGGATACTGAAGATCCTGTCAAGCAGTATGACCCCTTTAAATTCTTTTGTTACAATCTTTTTGTTACTGGAAGGCTTACAAATGCTCAAAATTCAAAATAATAGTTAAAATGGTTGGTAGAGTTGACACATTATCTTATATTCACATATAAATCATATTTGGTTTCAGTCAGCCTACTGGCAGAAATGCAGCTTTTTCATTTATTTTTTTTTTTGGAAGGATGGCTTCTTAAAAAAAAAAAACCTCCCCCTGTAGTCCAACTTCTTTTATCCCCCAGTCTTCACCCTCCTTCCAAATTTATCCCATTGCAGACACAAAGGCCACCCCTCACTCTGACAGTCCCACTTCAGTGACTCTCCATCAGCCGGATAATTAGCAGCTGGGGCCGTGCCATCAGCTGTTGTGGGCTTGGAGGAGAGGGGGGGCTCGGCTGTGAAAGGCCCGGGCTGCTCTGACCAGTGTCCTGACTACAAAGGGCTCCTCTTTTACAGCTGGCAGGAGTCCTTACCCCCACCTCCTTTGACCCCGTCCCCACCCTGTCAACTAGTGGTTAGTTCAAGCACACAACCTGTCCAACCAGACTGTGATTGAGCGCTGACCCTCTGGCCCTCTGAGACTTTAAAAGCAGCTGGTCCCATTCAGAACGCAGGACCTGCCTAATTGGTGAAAAAGTCACAAGGGCGGTAATGATTGGGTCGCCTCTTGAGGTTGCAGTGGTGCTTTGACTCAGTTAATGCAGAACATCGAAGATTTTTATTGCTGTATCAACTTACAGTTTAGGCCTTCATTTATAATTGATACTTAATTATCAATAATTTGTTTGAATAGGAGTGTGGAGATTGAGATTTGGATGGTTTCCACAGTTTATTGTTCTGTTACCTGGACTTACCTGGAGTTGCATGTCGACTCCGTTACATTTCTACTGTAAAAACTCCACCTCCACACACTAAGTTGAATTAATAACAAGTCAGTGAAGGGTTAAATTAGTGGTACTTGTGGCCCCCTATTCCATAGCAGCCAGACTCCTCTGAGTGCCTTCATTGTCTGCTGTTGGCCTCTTGTGCCCCTTGCTGGTCCAAATGCTACATTCTCACGTGGATTTCCACTCAGAAGGGTGACCATGACCAATCCTCTGTCAATTGGAACCAATTGCTCACACGGCATCCTTCACCTTCTTTTTATGTAGCAGTACGGAGTGGCAGACATCGAGACCTCTCGGCTCTCCCCCTCCATGATGATTTGGCTTTAAGGCCTAGTGTGTATGGCTAGTGAACCGGAAAAGAAGAAATTTTTGAAGAGTTGGGCCACTCTAAATCTCCTCGGTATCCCAATATGTGGTCAGTCTGGCTCCTCAAGTCTTCAGTCACCGTTTTCTCACTGGCAGACTTGGCTTTGTTGGTTGATTGATTTGCTAAATAGACTGACTTGATTTAATGTGTTGCTCTGCTCCAGTGCCTTCAGCCCATACTGTACCTGTGGGCCTTTAATTCTCTTGTGCTTTTTAAAAATTGGTAATTGATTCCATTATTATTTGTTCTTGTAAACATTATAAATGAGCATTATTAACTCTTTGGTACAATAATCATGAAAATAAAAACTCTCATCTCCTAAAATAAAACTGCAAGTGGCACAGAGGTGTGAATTGTCATAAATCATGACTGAAGTTGCATAGCTAGTGTTCAAAATGATCTTTCATACCAAAACATTTACTACACTGCACCTGTTATCCACTGAATTGTGAGAGTTTACATTGTGTCCATAAGCCCAGTAATGACACCCAGTGGTAGAGTACAGTTTAGTTCATGTTAGACTGTTTGACAGTTTGATGTACATTTCTTCTGTTGAAATAGTTCCAGTTAAGCACTGCCAGGTGATCTCTGCTGGTTTAACTGTGTGATGTGATCCCAGCAACGTTCATTTAAGTCACCGTGTCTGAGGACCAAGCTTTTGTCGGCCACTGTGGCCTCAGGTGTTTGATAGGAGCCCACAGCCTCTCTAAACCCACTAAGAGTCAGCCTGAGGGAGACCACATGAAGAATGGCAACAAATTAGCAGTTTTCTGTTTGTCCATGATCTTTTTAAATAACAGAATATCTTTGGATGCGTAAGGATGCTTATGTGCTAACTTCTAAAACCCATGTCTAATAATAGACCTGAAGCTTGGTAGATGAGTGAGTTGAATCCCAACTTTTGAACTAAACATAAAGCTTATTTTATTTATATTTGCTATCAATATTGTAGGAAAGTTAAATGATCTTCAGATTCACTGCTTCATCAGCAGGCTTTGCAACTTTAGTGCATCACTGCCACCTATAGATGGCGCCATAGATTCAGACATGCGGTGAGAGCCCTGAATATGGGAATTCCGTTCATGTTGCAAGTTGATTTGATCTTGAACCACATCAGGCAGTGAGTATGATAATTTATGAAAATTTTAATTCATTAAAACAAGTTTAAAATTTTTAAAACCATGACTGGTTGAGAGAAAATAAGTTTTTTGTTTTTTTTCTTGTTTTCAGTACCAATAGCCAAGATGGTGCAGTATAGTAATTAATTTGTATTACATCAGTGCCTTATTATTTAGCCCTGTTTTGATCCAGATTACTAAATGTAAAAAGTGTTTTTACTCCAGCTTATTGTCCCATATCCCTCTTGCACCTCTTATCCTCCCTGTCTGACAGCCTCTGGCAGACTCAGGCCATATCCAGCTATTGCTCTGTGTTTCACCCTTGTATTGTGATTTCTCTGTTTCCCTTTCAGTTGTCCATGATATGTTTTTGTCTGAAAACACTCCTCTGTGTCTTTTCTGTTGAAAAGTTCTTTCTTCCTGTCTGTTTTTGGGACCTTGATATCTATCAGTGACATCCACTGCTTTGCACAGGAGCTGTTTGTTGGGCTGGTTACGCAGTCTCTGTTCACGGAGGTGAGATTTTGGCTGGAGAAGGCAGCTGGGGTCCAGACATCCTCCTGTGGATTCGTCCCAGAAGATGTCTCTCTCTGTGGGCCTTCTCACAAGTTTCATCCTCTGCCTCCCTTCTGTGTTTTGATTCATAACTTAAGGACCAAATGAAATGAACAAATGTCAGACTCAATCAACAGACCATATTCAGGTAGACTTTGTATCAGATGTACCTGTTAAAACAGTAATTTGCAGTCCTACCGTTAACCGTGTAGACAACCTTATGTCTTCTTTGCTCTCTGGCTTGTTGGACTTGTGCTTGCCGTTGCTGATGTGCTTGTTGAGTGAGAGCCATCTGGGCCTCTAGAAACCCTCCCTGGAATGGCCACAGGGCCACAAGAAACCAGAGGTAGAAAGTACATTTACTCTAGTAGCATGCTAACAGTTACTACAAGTTTGAAGTACTTCCTTTCAATGCTACTTTATGCTTCTACTAAACTACATTTCAGAGGGAAATATTGTACTTTTTACTTCACTACATAAAACCGACAACAACTGCTTTCTGTTCCCTGCACCCTGAAAATCGATTTCATTGAGGACCAGTCATGGCTGAACCACCCTACTTTCCACTCCACTGGTATTTCAGTCAGATCCACTGGGACAGGAAGGGCCCACACTCACAGCTCTCTCTCTTCCTCTTCCTTTCCACCCCATCTTACCCCCTTTCTCTCTTAAGCACTGCTGCACTCATGCATTTTCTCTCAATAGAAAATTTATGATCTGAATTATTGATGTAATAGATGCACTTCAGCTCTTCCATACCTTGTCGAGATGCTTTACCTGAATCATTCTGCCAGTGCCAGCGTATCCTGTCTGGCCAGTTGTAGGAAACCGGTGGACACCCCCATCTCTGCAGCCCTAGAACAAATATCAACATTCCTTTTTGGGTTTCAAAATGGCATGAGGTTAGTGACTCTGGGACAGTTAGCAAAAATATTTTTCCTTTTTTTATTACCATTGCAATTTGATTGGCAGTGCTTGTGTGGCCAATTTGAGGGGACAGCAGTGCCTGAGGAGAGATAATGATGGGATGTCTGGGAAAAAATCAAAAGTGTCAGAAAGAATAATGCAAAATTATGTCTCCCACAGTCCCAGCACAGGACTGAACAGATAGATCAGAAACCTTTCTTCTGAGTCAGGCAACAAGAATAGCCTGCTATAGTTAATAAAACTGTATTAGGCAGCTGATTATACTGTACTAACCTGAGATCTTCTGGGTGGATGGGAGTGAATGATACTTGAATTGTTGCTTTGCTTTTGTAGTAGGCTTCCTGCAAAGCGTGCTTCATCGCACACTGTTGTTTAATGTATTACAACAAAGTAATGTGTAAAAAATAATGAAAGGAAACCATGAATGGAAATGAAAAACTAGAGACAGGACATTTCTACAAACCTGAGAGTGTGGAAATAGATATTTCCTGTTTCAGTGGAGGTAAAGTCATCTTCCTCTTTCCAAGAGTTCCTGATGGCTGCTCTAAAGTGACCAGCAGAGCAGGAACGGTCCACTGTGGTTTCAGATGTTTACCCTCTTCTTGCGGACTCTTAAATGGAGTTACTTTACATAGCCTGGGTCTGGAGCCTGTGGACCCCATTGTCCTGTTCTTAGTCCCAAAGTCTAACACAGTAAAATAGTTTCTCTGCAGTACATGTGAGATATGTACAGTGTAATAGTCTAATAGTTTTAATATTTTCTTAAAGTTGTGTGCTAATTAGAATAGCTAATTTCATCTTTTCTTATCTGTCGCACGGAAGTTCGAACACTGTAGCTCCACAGGCTTTATTAACTTTTCCCACGTAGATGTTGGTCTCTTGTGGCTTTTTGGCCTCTCCTATTAAAACACAACAAACAAATAAATAAAATAAAGCCACATATCTTCACCGTTAAAACTGACTCTTCCTTTTTCCTCGTTTGTTTCTTGTTACTCCCAAACAAACCTGATGCTCATCATATGTCACCTGTTGCCGAAATTAATGTTTGTCCTGAAGCATCTTTGTCTGGTTCCAAAGTACAAATGAAACAAACACCTTTGGTTGTGGTTAAAAGAACAGGTGTGTACTCCATCCCTGCCTTCGTACTTGACTTTTTCCATCATAATGAGCCAAGTTTCCATGGCAACGCTCCCTACAGGTTACTTTGTAACTCTTAACTTAATGCTTGAAAGAACATGTTATTTTTCTGCACCCCCTTCCTATTGGAAAGCCCAGAGAAGTAGGAAAGAGGCAGGTTCTCTGGGAAATTGTTAACTGACTGAAAAATGTGACTCCACAAGTGCTTAGAAAACCAGAGGAGGTAGACAAACACTGTCACAAAGGTGGGTCATTTTAGGCTGCACATCAGGCAGTAGGTTTCTCAGCACCCTATGTACTGTGCATCATATCATGTTGTGATTATTTCCAAGACTGTTTAGTCCAAATATGCAAGATACCCAGGGTATGGATTTTTTTTATGACCAGACCTTTCATCCAATGCCATTGCATCCACCTGCAAAACTGACATTCCCAACACCCTCAGCTGTAGTTGGTGTTTAGTGCTGATTAGCAAATGTTAGCATGATAAAACATTAACGCATCAGCATGGTAGCATTGTCACTGTGAGTAAGTTACTGCTGACATTAGTATTTAACTCAAAGCATCGCAGTACCTTAGCATAGCTGGCTTAATTCAGTGGCACATCTGCAGTTTGGGCACTTTAAGATTATTGCTGGGCCCTTTATAGGAAAAAATAGTGATTGACATTCAGCCAGTAATATTTGCAGACCATGCAGTAATTCTTTACATATAGGAATGTGTACAAAAACCTGCTTTTTCAGATGGGCATACATTATTCCCACAGAATGTGTGTACAGCATTTGTGAAAGAGGTGAAATTATAGTAGAACCAATTATTCTCAGTCTTTTTTCAGTTTGCAGTGTGTGTCAGTAGGTGACAGCTAAGCACAACAGAGAAAAGTGTAATATTTTATAGTGAGGAGAATTCTGCAAAGTCACCGCTGCAATGCACTTATCAGATTACCAGTGCTCTATGAATCACACCACTTACATCTGCTAAAATACCTGACCATGATACAGATATGGTGGTAGCAACAATAGTCTGGCTCTCATACACACTCTTATGTTGCGTTGTTTCCTCAGTTTTCACTTTCAGAAAAGCGGTGGACACACTTTAAACCTTACGGATTCACAACAACAAAATTTGCCTTTGCTAATATTAGCCCATATGGCAGGTCATTTCGTATGTTTTCATGCTGAAGTGGGAGAATGGATTAAAATGAAAAAATGTAGTTAGGATTGCAACAACATAACAGACAATGTAAATAATAATAATAAATCAAAATAGTAATATCTTTTGCGCGTTAACTGTTTGTTCACAATGCTGAAGCTTTCACTTGACGGTGTGAGGATAGCACTGAGGACTGGAAAATGTCACCCCTAAAGGACATGACGTCAGTGTCCTAAACTGTTGCCAGAATGTAAGCACAGCCCCACCATGTCTCTGTCTTGTGTACCATTTTTACTGAGCTACTGTACTGTATGTGGATGTGGGACACTTCACCAGTACTAGATGAATCCTTCTCAACCAACAGAGACTTGACTAAAAATGGTGTTCCAAAATATTGTTAACAAAAGGCTTCACCTACATACACATCACCCTGGGGTAAACTAGTAATGCACTTTAATGAGTGTGGGTTTTAAGTCTTTTATTATAAACAACCAAAAGAGCCTGTACATTACATATAGTATAATTGTCATTCTTGTATATAATACTATTCAATAAGACTTCAAATTAATACTCTTATTGATACAGGTCTAAATAAATATCATAAATACATATAAGATTGAGCCAAACTGGCCCTGTCAGTATTTATATTCACAGAATACAGTCTGCAGAGCAGGTCGGGGGAGGTCAGTCAGCTCTTGGTTTGGGTGCGTGCAAGGGACTGGTCTTAGCATGGCAAGTATTTTAAAAAAGTAAAACACTTTCCAGCCTTTCATTTAGCAAAATCCACAAATTGTTCTGTTTTCCTCTCCTGCAGTGAGGTGATGGAGACAGAGATTCATCTCCACAGTGAAGATGAAAGTTCAGGACAATACCTCCTGTCTTCCTGATAGAGACTCCACTGAACATCCTGCCTCACCTCCTAGGTGGGCAGTGGATAAACATGAGCAGACAGGTAGCTTCAGGGCTGGTTAACAGCAGAGCTCAGCCATGTCATTCCAAGGGAATGGAGACGGTGCCGTTGGCTCGACTGCGGCTACGAGTGTGGCCGCTAGACTCTGTGAGCTCCTCAGCGTGTTCCTCTGACTTCTTGTCTGTGATAGCAGCCAGGAAACGCAGTGTGACCGAGTCCCACTCCTCTGGCAGCAGCAAGAGCAGGAAGCCCAGGCAGATGACGCAGGTGGCTGTTAGGCGAACCTCACTGAAGATCACCTCGTGTTTCA